TGGCTCCTGGTGAGATACCTAATGCAAACGATACAAAGTGCATTCAAAACTCATCTCAAATCCAACTCTTTTGGGAATCTCCTAGGAAAACGATCTAATCTTAGGATAGGAGTTTTCTGGCAGCCATTCCCAAACTCTCAGAGGAAGATTTTTTACCTCCCCACCTTGGGACCTACACATTTTACCCAGCAATTGAACCAGAAACCTTCTCCTGAATAATCCTTTCCTGAAGAGTATTCATTTCTCCATCCTTCCTAAAGTTTTTCCAGGCAGTATGTTAAAGGGCAACGTTTGGCAAAGATGGGGTTTTTGGCCTGGTTACAAAACAACATCTGTTCAATAAATTGAACAGATAAATTGCTTCAAGTCAAGACAAACCCACTGCCCAGCTGGGAATCCCCTCCCCAGCAGATCGTATGGGGCAACAACACTTCAAATGGTATATAGACTACACGATTGAGCCAAGTCATTAGATCAGTGGTCATTTACCAAGACCTCCAATGACAGCCAAGAAAATGGGAAAGTTGGCACTTTTTAGGGTTCCTCCCCCCGCTCCCCTTGATCAGTGCAGAAACAATATCTGCAGGATTGACACTGTCATGGTTAGAATGGGGAGATTTAACAGGATAAAAGAGTTGGAAGGGACCTTGGAGGTCTTCTAGTCCAACCCCCTGCTGAGGCAGGAAACCTTATACCATTTCAGACAAATGGTTCTCCAATCTCTTCTTGAAAACCTCCAGTGATGGAGCATTCATAATTAATAGTTGATTAATTGATTAATAGTTCTCACTTTTGGGAAATTTGTCCTTAGTTTTAGGATGCTTCTCTCATTGATTAGTTCTCACCCCATTGTTTCTTTTTCTTGCCTTCTGGTCCTTTGGTAAATAGGTTGACCTCTGCTCTTTGTGGCCGCCCCTCAAATACTGCAATACTGCTGTCATGTCACCCCGAGTCCTTCTTTTCATTAAACTAGAATACCCAATTCCAGCAACCATCCTCCATATTTGCCTATTCCTTCCTCTTTGCTCTCTGTTTACTCCAGTCTCATGTGGCCCGGGGAACAAAATGTAAGCAATACACTAAGAGAAGTCTCATTTTTTTTGCACAACCTCCCTAAGACTTCTCAGTTTCAGAAGTGGGGAAAAGAATTATTCCCTCAGGCAATTCACCCAAAATGGTTTTAACCTTGAGAGCTGCAGCCTGTCTGGAGATCCTGCAAGTTGGAATATTTGGATGATAACGCCTCCTTTTATCCAGTTAAATTGTTGTGCCCACAGGATCTGTGTGTATGTGGGTCATCTTCATGAGTGTGATGTTAGGAGTCTACTTGGCATCAGGGATGTGTGCAGTGATGGGATTCAAATAATTTAACAACCGGTTCTCTGCCCTAATGACCAGTTGGGTAGGCGTGATTCAGTGGTCATGTGACTGGGTAGGCGTGGTCAACTCAACATCACTGAGGTTGATGGGCGCTTTGCCTTAGCTGTTACAATGGAATAAGGGTTAACCAGAGAGGCAATTTCTGTAATCAGGGCAATCAAAATTAGGCTAGAAACAACACCAGAATGTTTCCTTCCTGCCTTCCTTACAGGATTGGCCCTGTAAAATGGAGAAAAACAAAAGGAGTTTGCTTCCAACAATTGGTTCTCCGAACTACTTAGAAAGTTAACAACCGGTTCTCCCGGATAGGTGCGAACCGGCTGAATCCCAACACTGGGTGTGTGTAAACCACTTTACAGTTGCTGCCGGAAGGCTAGCAAGTGATCCCAGCTTGCGTACAATTCTTTTCTGTAGGTTGCATCTTTGCTCCTGTGGTTGAGTAAAACACAGCTGACTGCTGACTCAAATAAAAGACTGCAAATGAAGAAGGTGTGGTGTTTCTTACAATTTCCCTCCGAGATATCTTTTTCTGCTGAAAACGCTGCCTCTCCCCAGTTGAGTTTCCCCTAGGGGAAAAGATACAATCGGCTACATTTTTTTCCCAAAGATTAAAATGTCTCTAGTGTGCAAACTCACAGTTTTGTAGACCCACCTTTAAGCGTTCTTAAAATGGGTGGAATTGGGATTGAAACCTATAGTGATTCAGGCCATTACATCTCCTCTTCGTGTGATGACAAGTGGCAGGAAAAGCAGAGCAAACTGTTTGCATCATCTTAATGGAAGTTGCTTAAATAGATAAGAAGACATTTGTTCTGGTTGTAAGAAGAAGTAAGNTCCTTCCTTCTCATTAGGTGGCCAAAGTATTAGAGTTTCCATCTTCAGGATCCGCCCTTCTAAAGAGCAGTCAGGGTTGATCTCCACTAGGACTGACCGGTTTGATTCCCGTGCAGTCCAAGGGACTCGCAGGAGTCTCCTCCAGCCCCCTAGGAAGAGTTAAGTTCCCTAATTTTGTCACTGAGATGTGGTGCATAGGTAGAAAGGAATTCATTCAAGATGCAAAACCTTTGTTATTTCAGGATTTACCTTTCGATTCAGGGCATGTTGTTTCAGCCTTACCCTTTCTGCTTATTTATTTTTTTTAAATTCCAAACTCAAATGAACTCAACATGCAGAAGCAAAGCTAAGCCAAAAACCATGTGGCATCCCCTTCCAATATTTTTCCAGAAGGATATGAAATCATAAATGGAGCAAGGTTTGAAAGGAATGGCTGATGGACACACTTGCGCCTGTGTTCTTCTGCCAAGGTTTTGAGGCCCCCCGGAGAACATGTTCCACATTTCATGATTAGGAAACCCAGTGACATTCGTGGGATTTTGGATGGTTCTGCAAGCAACACATTTTTCCATCAGTGATGATGTAACTTTACAGTCGTCGTTAAATTTGCAGCCCTGACAGTAGTGGATTGCAACAGCTTCACTTGCACAGAAAAATGAGTCAAAGAGAAGAGGAGGCTTCAAAGATAGGACTGACTCATAAAGATTGTCTCCAAAGGAAGGCTCAACCTGTTCTGACCGAGGCTTCCCAAGAACATGAAGCAAACTCCTGGTCCCAACAAAACCCTCTTTTATTAATTGGCTGTGAATTCTGCTCATTCACATCCAGCAAAGTCTTTCGAGGGAGGATTTAGACCTTATGTGGCTTGGAGAGCTGACTGGCCAATATCTGCAGAAACTTGGCAAGGAGTCTCGGAGAGTCACGAACCAATTAAGCCAACAATCGTCTCCTGCAAACTCCCCCCCCCTTTCGCCCCTCTTTTATTTCCTCTGGGGGGGGGGGCATTCATCGTCCACCTGTGGCCTTATTCCCAAGTCAACCCCTGTTCTTTAGCTGTTCTCTTTGT